TTAGCAGATAAGAGACATGTGGCCAGAAAAAGATAAACATATACAATAAAGACAGAATCAAATGAAGAAAAACCTCTAAAGGTTTACAGTGTGTTTAAAAATATATGTAGAAAAGAAATAGAGTAATAGAGTAGCTGGGCTAGCAGTTTCTGCCCAGCTATGTCACTTCCTTCCTGGTCTGTACAGACCTCCAGACCTCTATGGTTAGCTGGTGGCAAGCTCCATTCTCTGACCCCCAGACAGGCTTTATTTGTGCAAGAGAGATATCACTACAGGGATTACAAGCATGTACCACCAAGGCCAATTTTTAAAATGTTGGTTCTGGAGATTAAACACAGTCTTCATGCCTTCAGCAAGGCAAGTACTTATTCACTCAGCTGTCTCCCTAGCCCTGAGTTCTTACCCATCCTCAAGAGACAGAGTAAAAGTCCAAGTTATCTCAAACCATACCACTCTCAAGATCTATAGTGATTTAAGAACAAGAGCCCACCATGCTGGTCCTGGGGCTACCACTCAGGTTGTCAGGCTTGGCACCCTGTACCCTTAGCCATTGAGCCATCTCATTGACCCTGAAGTCACATTTTGAAGTCAAGTACACAGAGATGGGATCGTAAACACTAGGAATAGAACAATCACCTAGGGAGACTGTAGATAAGGAAAGCCAAAAGTTTGATTCTTACAGAAAGGAGCCTGTAAAGAAGGCGATGAGGAAGTACATACCATGTTTGTCTTTTTGTGACTAGGTTACCTCACTCAAAGACTCTAAGAGAAAAATGCATGGACCCCACAGAATGGGAAGGGGCAGGATCTCCTGAGTTAATTGGTAGCATGAGGGTAGGGGAGAGGTAGCTGGCAGAATGAGAGGAGGATAAGAGGAGGGGAGAGGAGGAAATGGAGGAGCAGAAAGGTTGAGTCAGGGGAAGAATAGAGAAGAGCAGAATGAGAGATACCATAACGGAGGGAGCCATTATAGGTCCAAGGAGAGATCTGGCACTAGGGAGATTTCAAGACTCTAAGAGAAAAATGCATGGACCCCACAGAATGGGAAGGGGCAGGATCTCCTGAGTTAATTGGGAGCATGAGGGTAGGGGAGAGGGAGCTGGCAGGATGAGAGGAGGATAGGAGGAGGGGAGAGGAGGAAATGGAGGAGCAGAAAGGTTGAGTCAGGGGAAGAATAGAGAAGACAAAAATGAGAGATACCATAACGGAGGGAGCCATTATAGGTCCAAGGAGAGATCTGGCACTAGGGAGATTTCCAGAGATCTCCAAGGATGACACCAACTGACAATCTAGACAATGGTGGAGAAGCTACCCTAAATGCCCTTCCCCTAAAATGAGACTGATGACTACTTAATATGCCATCCTAGAGCCCTCATCCAGTGGCTGATGGAAGCAGAGGCAGACACCCACAGATATACACTGAACTGAACTCTGGAACCAGTTGCAGAGAGGGAGGAATGAAGATCAAAGGGGTAGGGATCAGGCTGGTGAAACCCACAGAAACAGCTGGCTTGAACAAGGGGGAGTACATGGAGACCACCATGGGACTGATCCAGGATCCCTGAACGTAGATGTCAGTGAGGAGGCCTCAGCACTCTATGGGGCCCCTGGTAGTGCATCAGTATTTATCCCTAGTGTAAGAAGGGACTTTGAGAGTCCATCCCACGTGAAGGGATGTTCTCTTGGCCTGGACACATGGGGGAGGGCCTAGGCCAGGCCCAGGATGATGTTGTGGACTTTGGGGAGCCCCCATGGAGGGCTCTACCCTCCCTGAGGAGCAGAGGGGGAATGGGTTGGGAGACTTGTGGGGGGCTGGGGAGAGGGGAGGGAGAGGGAGAAGGGATTGACGTGTGAAGCAAGCTTGTTCCTAATTTGAACTAATTAAAAAAAAAAAGATGAGCAAGCAGCAGGGGGGAAAATCAATGCATTGTGAGGGGTTATCAACTGTGTCTGCAGAGTCTTTCATATTCTTTCTTGCAAAAGATGAAGCTTGCTTTTCCTGCTGTCCTTGCTGGCTTTTAATGAACAGCGCACCTTGGGAGTGATGAGGGTAACTTCCTGGATGAGGACACCAAAGGCACTGTGGTTTCTTCCTTGTCCTTTCACTTCCTTGTCCCTTCCTTGTCCTAGGGGAGTCAGCTGACATACTGTAAGGACAGTCAAGCCACTTTAATGGAGGAGTGTTCACACTGAAAAGTTATGAGACTTCCAGTCAACAACCATGAAAGTGTGCCATCTTGGAAGAGGATCCTCTAGACAATGTCAAGCTTGTGGATGACAGTGGCATTGGCCAAAGCTTGACTACAAACTTGGGACAAGCCTGTCTTTCTGCTGTGAACCTAAAATTGCTCTCAATAAAATAAAGTTCATGAAAAACAGTCCCAAATCCCCAGGCAGCTAAGCTTGAAACTCCCCACCTACAGAAATTATGTGAGACGAGAAAAATGTTTTAATAAGAAGTTTTGAAACATTTTGCAGTTCAGTAACAGATAGCAAGGAGATGTGGCCAGCAACCAAGGTAAACGAATACTGAAGAGCAAGCTGATAATACTTGTAAAGTTGTTTACTGGTTCTGGTGTATTGGGTTCTAATCATGCACTCATCAAATCCAAGATGCCAAGGATTACTAGTACACTGCTGTTGCATACATTAGGAAAGCAAAACCACTTCAGAATAAACTATGGCTCATTACCATAATGATAACCCTGAGCAGTCTTGTCATGATTTTGGGCATGAATTAATCATGACTGTGTTAGATTTAAAAATGGCATAGCCTACAATGGCCTGCTTTACTCTCTAGCACTCTTGGAATGAAGTCCACGCTCATTAGCTTGGCATCCCAGCTTCCTTGCAGCCTGGTTCCAGCCTCCCTTCTTTGGTTCTTGGCAGGTACTGTGGGTTCATGATGACCAGTCTACCCTTTGTACCTGGGTCTGTCTTCCTTCTACATTCTCCTTTTACAGGCACATATCCATCCATTTGTTACCTTATTGCTATGCAAAACCACCATCAATTTAACACTGACTGACTTGCTTTCTCCTACATTTTATAGCTGATGGATGCACATTCATCAATGAGGATAATTCAAATGCCAGGCCCTGGGCCCTGTTTTCAGTTTTCCCTGTCTCTTTCAGACTCAATTTCTCTCTCATCTATATTCTACAGAATATTTTTTCTTTCTTTTATTTTCTCTTTCTTTCTTTTTTAAACACAATATCTCACATATCCCAGGCTGACCTTGAACTTGCTATATAACGGAGGATGACTTTGAACTCCCAATCCTCCTGCCTTCACCTCCTGAGTGGAGGATTCCAGGTTTTCAATGCCATACACAGTTCATGTGGTACTGAGGCTCCAACCCAAGATTTTGTGTATGCTAGGCAAGCACCCTACCAACTGAGTTACATCTGAAAACCCTGAAAAATTTTCTCCTCAAGACAGGGTTTCTCTGTGTAACAGCCCTAGCTGTCCTGGAACTTTCTCTGTAGACCAGGCTGGCCTTGAACTCACAGAGATCTGCCTGCCTCTGCCTCCCGAGGGCTGGGATTAAAAGTGTGCACCACCAGCACCTGGCTGAAATTTATCTTTTAATTACTTCTTTTGTTTTGGGGGGATTAGAAATAATTATATCATTTCTCATTTCCCTTTCCCCCCTCTCAATCCTCCCATATATCACTACTTGCTCTTTTAAATTCATGGTATCTCTTTTCATTGTTGTTACATGCATATATGTATATACATATATTCCTAAATATAATTTTGTATATAGTGTATACACAATATAAATAAATGGCATAATATGTATAGCTGTTCCTATCTGTTCCTCTGAAACTGTTCACTTATTGTTTATGCACAAGTAACATTATTTGCCTTTTTCATCCCTTTGGTTTGGTCTTTTTTTGTTTTTTAGATCTTTTTCATCTCTTCAGCTTACAAACAAAGAAAGACATTTTTTTTTCTGGGCCTACCAAGTGCTTTAATGGGGGCAGTAAATAGATATGTATCTCTGGCATCCAGGAGAATGTTTGAACATGCCATTGTTCAGTTATTGTTGTTAAATTGGACCCAATTAATTTTAACTCCTTCTGGAATTTGTCTTCATCATTGCAATCTGGAGATTTAAAACAGTTTCTCTCTGTGTGTGGTATATATGTGTATACATGTTTACATGTGTGAAGGCTTCTTCAGTCACTCTGTAAATGATGATTTTTTTAAAGACAGAGTCTCTCACTAACCCCGGAAGTTACTGATTTAGCTAGGCTGGCTGACCAGCAAGTCCCAGAGATCCTTTCATTTCAGCCTTCCCAGTATTGGGATTCCAAACCTGCACCATTGTACCCCAGCTTTTCTGAGGATGCTGGGGAGGGAACTCAGGTCCTAGTGTTTATGCAGCAAGTACTTTACCACCCCCTCCCACCCAGCCATGTCCTCAGCCCTAAAACATTTTAGTTATTGAAAGCAATACACTGGGATCTGGTAAATTATCTAAGAGAACTAATCAGTACTACAGATCACTTGTATGTGGTAGAAAGAAAGATTTAACCTCTTGTGGGGGACACCATGAATTTGAAAGCTGACGGTTGTTTACTTTGATATTCCAAGTAAGTCAATCACAGACCCTTTTATAATTCCATTTACCATAAACCCCATATCACCTTAGGGTACCTGTCTGCTTTGCTTCCACTTTCTCCAGAGGGGTTTGCATTCTAGAAGTTGTTAGTAGAACATGGGTCCTAAGGGGCTTCCTGTCCCACCAGCCCAGTGACAAATGGGTGTATCACAGTACACAGAGTTTCATGTACTCTTTTTTCTGATTTTTAAATTTATTATCATTGCATGTGTGCCTGCATGTGGATGATGTGGGGGGGCACTTGTACCATGGTGTGGGTGTGGGGGTCAGAGGATAGCTCTGTGGAGTTGCTTCTCCCCTTCCATGTTTATGTGGGCTCTGGGGATTGAACTCAGGTCCATAGGCTTGCATAGTAAGTGCTTTTACCTACTGAGTCACATCACGAGTTCCCAGCTTCATTTCTTGACATTCAAGAACTTTTTTCTGTTGGCAGGAGCCAGTTTTTCCTATGGACATGGGAGGCAAAAAGTACAAGAACCTTCCACCCCAAACCTCTTATTCATTTGACTAGAGTATAGCCTTTGTTGCTTGCCTTTGGAAACACAGGTCTGAGGCTCATGTCCAACTGTCCCTACACAGGATTAAGTCATCTAGTGGTCACTTATTTTTGCCAATGTCCCTCCCCTTCCAATGGTATCCCTTTATATTGTCCATCCTTTCCCTCTTTCCTGGCAGAGCATCCCAGGGTACCTGCCAATCTTTCTACACTGAGATTGCTCCTGAGAGAAGATGGTGGCAATATTGGAAGGATGAAAAATTTGTCTTACACAGCTCCCTAGATCATGATGAGGGAGACGTTACAAGTGTGGTCGAAGTGTTTTGAGATTTCCCTGGATTATCCACGTGGGCTTCCTACAATCACAAAGGGTTTTCATAATGGGAGGAAAACAAGGAAGAGAGGAGGCCAGGTAGTAAAGGGCGAAGAGATGGGATTTATTTCCACAAGCCAAGAAGCTCAAAGAGAAAGGGACAGATTCTCCTTTGGAGCCTCTGGAAAGGACTAGCGATACCAACGCCTTAAGTTTAGCCCCACCAGACTCATTTTGGTTTTCTGACTGCCAGCACACTAAGGCAATGAATCTGGGTGCTTTGAAATACAGAAGTTTGTGGGTTAGTTGTATTGGAGACACTTCCATACTAGGGCTACTCTCCATGTAGCCTGTGGTTAGCAGGAAGCATCCCCCTTGCTGTGAACCCAGATGTCCCTTCCTCTGTCACACACTCCTTTTACTTGAATTAAATAGGGGAAAGATGTGTAACTGAAATATATTCCAAGTAGAAATTTGCTTCAAATTTACTTCCAAGAACAGCAATGTTAATAGTATATTTATCTTCTATGCCCAAAGGACTGGAGTGTTGGAACTAGAGTTCTAAGTAAATCTTTTTGACCATCGTTGCCTACTGGAAATATAATAACCACATGTGGCCTGTCTGATTTTCTGGTAGTTTTTAAAATGATAAATAAATGAGTAAAATTAATTTCAGTTGCATATTTTATCCAGTGCACTATATCTACAGTGTTACTATCTCAACATGTAACCAATAAAAAAATGACCAGCAAGCTAGTTTCTATTCCTTTTTCCTCCACACTAAATCCTGAGATCCCAATGAATATTTCTCATTTACACCACTTCTCACCTTGGACTGGCTGCATTTCAGGTACATGGTCACCATCATATTTGGTGTTTCGGACATAGTAGGCACAGGGCATCTAAAATAGTCCCGATACCCAAAGGGCATAAAAAGTGCAAGCCAAGCCGAATTCTGATGCCTATAAGAAGGTTAATATACAACTAATGAATTCTTCATTAGATCAGTGGTCACTGTTACCTGTACAATAAGCACCATTTAAGAGGGATATGGTTTTCCAGGTCACACAAGCATGCGAGTGTTCCAATGAAAAAGAATCCGTACTTATTACATTTTGAGACAGGTTCTCAATCAAACTCATTATGTAGATGAGAATGACCAAGAGTGCTTGATCATTTGGCTGCATCCATCCTCTCTCCCAGTGCTGGGATTACAATCAGGCACCACCACACCTGGTTTATTCTACGCTAGGGTTTGAACCCAAGACTTCATGAATGCTAAGCAGGCACTCTACCAACTGGCCTACATACATCCTCAGCTCCCCCCTTTTGTATTTTTAATTAGAAATTTTTCTGTACCAGAAATCTGTATGTACCAGCTATAGGGTTTTTTTTTCCTGTAAATTTCAGTGAAACGTTAGGAAATACCTAGCAGTTCGTAGGCACACCCCACCCCCCATGTGTGCCTTGCCTTCTTGGTAAATGCGCCCCTCCCAGGTGGAATCTGGAGCTAATTAAACCTGAACTGGGGCAGATACCAAAGTGCCGACCACTTGCCATTTGCAAACCTGTGGAGCAGCTCACCAGCACACCAGCCAAGGAACCTGACACTGTGAAGCAATCACACTTCACATCTTGAAAAGCGCGCAGCACTGCAGTCTTCACAGAGATTTTTCAGGTTCATTTTTTTTTTTTTGGTTTCTGGAGGGGGGGGCCCTTTCAGCTTTTAATTTAATTTGGTGGCACTTTGAAAGTGGATCTTCTGGAGGTCGCTTTGCCTGCTGCTTAAGAACTGTTAATCTCATCTCCACATAGCACTTGGTCTTTCTTGAGGCGGCTTGCTAACAAAACACAACCCTCCAGCGTTCAAGGGAAATGTGATTGGGGCAAATTGCATCTGCTTACATTTTGATCATGGGGAGGAAATTGAAACTTGCAACCATACATTCTGAGAACCTGGTTTGAGGGTTGTTCTGTTTGAACTTCAAAATCCCTTAATACCGTGGCAGACCCTGATGAAAGACTTTTTCCTGTAAATTAAACAAAGTCAGGCCCACCTGTTTTGAAATCTCAAAACAAAGCCAAGCCAAGTGTTTCCCCTCCACCCCTCCTCCTCTCCCTAAAATCAGCACTGAAAAACCTTACTCAGCTGGGAAGGAGCTTGCTTCCCAGGGGACTTTGGGAAATACCTGGATTTTTTTTTCCCCAAAAGTTGTCCCAACTTGACTGCTGATAGGTGGTTGGTATCCAAGTTGTTACTGGCATCTTATATGAGCCAGAGATGCTGTTAACCGCCCCCCCTCAGAACACAGGAGAGCCTGCCACCACAACAAATGATTATATAACTCGTCTCAAAGGTCATTAGGTCTGCAGTAGAGAAGCCCTACGCGGACATTCAAGGAAGAAGCAAGGAATGCGCCGGCACGCGAGGGCGGGGTGCGGGGTTCCAGGGAGTCTTCCTGAAAAGGCTGCCCTACACTGTAGAGGATGCTGGGCCACGTTGACTGGGGTTATTCCTGCTCTGTCACTTACTGGCCTTGTCTCTTTGGGCAAGTTACTCGACCTTCATTTTCACCTCGTCAAAAACAGGGATGGTAACGATAGTACCTTGAATACAAAGACTTAGGGACTTCTGGTGGGTTTATGGTCTGAAAGTGCTTGGTCTACAAAACACACTATGTCTGTGTTTACTCTGTGGCTCTGTAGCTTTCTCAGGGAAATGTTTCAGGGCCCAGAAAAGCTCATGAATAGAAGGAAGTGGCAAAACCAAGAATGGGTTCAGCTGTCATTTTACCCACGCGAACTTTCCAGTTCATCACCCGAATGCAAAGGCAGCTAGAACCAGAGCCCAGCAACAAGCCACTTCAGTGCTCAACAGTAAATGCTGCGCGTTCTGCATCCTCCTGTTTTTCTTCTTTTCTTCCCCAACAATATTAGCAATTGGTAATCGGTGGGCGTCCTTCAGGGACAGTGGAAGACACTAAGCTCACACCCGCGCTAGGTACTCACGCATCTGCCTGTACCGGAGGTGACTGCAGAGTACCAAAGCTCGCATGCACTTACGGTCTGAGCGTGCAACTTCCCTTCCCCTGTATCTACCCGGCAAACTCAGCCAGGTGGGGCGTGGAATCCACAGACCACCCGAGGCCAAGTCTTGCCCAAGGGGCACAGGGAAGAAAGTCGGTGGGCACTCGGCTCTGGCATCCCGGTGAAATTCATCCCAAGGCACTCAGTTACCTCAGCACCTAGGTGCCCCTTACACAAGCGGGTCAATGAGAAAGGGCTCCAAAAGGAGAGTTCAGGCCCAGGGAAACATGGTCACTGCAGACACTCACCTGGTCCCTACTCCACCTGCCACCCAGGGGAGCAGCAGCAGGAGCGCCAGGCCCCAGGGCGGCTGCATTTTGGCGGGGGGGGGGCCCTCGTTCCTGTGCTCCTCAGGACCTGGGACACAGGGGTCACAGCCTCTTCTCTGCTCCGCTGGTCAGGACCTTGGTTTTGCGCGCAGCTGGTGGGCTCCTGGCAGCCGGCACCGAGGGCACAGCCGGATTGGAGAGCTGGGGAACGTTTGGAGCTGCGAGTGGCTGGGGGCGCCCTGGCGAGAGACTCTGCTGGGTGAAGCGCCCCGTGCACCAGCGAGGGCGGGGCGGGGCGGCCGAGCACATCTGGCTGGGACCCGCCTCCAGGACGACCCGCGAAGCATCCAGCTTCAATTCATTGCATGCTGTTCAGGGGGCACCTCCGACACTCATGCATTTCAGGCTTGGGACAAGAGTGGTGCACTGCTGAGCAGCAGGGATTGAGAATCGAGAAGTCAAAGCAGGACCACAGATACAAGTTCATAAGCACACTGCAATCTCATTTCAGTGGAGGTTTTATGCTCAGCTAGATTTTTCCACACAAGGCAAATCATAGGACGTTAGAGGTCACCAAGTCTTTTTCAAACTCCTTTATTAGACAAGTGTCTTACAGTCATTCTCAACAACTTCAAATGTAACTCCAAATGATGTAGTAGTAACCGATGGCAGCTTGACACAAACTAGTCTGGGAAGAATGAACCTTAAATGGGAAAATGCCTTCATCAAATAAGCAAGTCTTTGGGGGGGGAGATATTTTCCTAATTAATGGTTGATGTGGGCAGGTCCAGCTCGCTGTGGGTGGGGGAGGGTGTCACCCCTATGAGGGTGGTCTTGGGAGGTGTGAGAGAAGTTCCCGACTTCATTAAACGGTGCCTGAATCATCTCTACCTCCAAGTTACTGCCCCGAGTTCTTGCCTTGCCTTGCCTTCAGGACGGGTCAAAGAGCATGCCTAGCAAACCCTTTTGCCTCCCTAAGTTGCTTTTGGTTGTGGTGTTTAATCACAAAGCAAGCTAAGACAGAAAGGCACAAACAAAGATACTGTATGAGTTCAGAGATTCCTCTAGGTACTGATGAGTTATTTATTTTGACTTGTAGCCGAAGGAATATTGGTTCTTCTTATTCCCACCTTTTGAAATCTTGTAGGCAGAGCCCAGAGCCTATGACCTTGACACTGGACTTGTTTCAGTGATTTGCTTTGACTGATGATGTTTGGGCAGAAGCACAGTGTGCCAACACCAACTCCATGTCTAAAGATACCCATGCCTCTATTTGGGATATGAGAAGACCATGCCTGTTAGCTTGATGGTCTAAGGAGGATGAGGAACAGGTGGAACATCGATACCTTTCTGGCCCACTAGGAGACCTCCAGCTCAAACTGGTGCTGATGGAGCCATGAAGCCTCAGAACTGAGATCAGCAGCACAGACAAGCTTCAGAGACTTGTTGGAATCAATTCTTTACTTGTTTTTCAAACATTTTCTTGATGGGGCTGGAGAGATGGCCCAGTGGTTAAGAGCAGTCACTGCTCTTCCAGAGGACGAGCACAGACCAAAGAAAGAATTCCACTTTCTACCTAAGTTTCATGGATATGCATTTGTATTTATTGAGTTTACTTAGAGAAGCATGGGAGGAGACACAAAGCCATCGCAGAAGCAAAAACTGCATCCCAGAAGATCTCTGTTCAACCTGCAGGAGGCTTCAATAAAGAAAGCCTCCTCTTCCCAGACAATGCTTACTGATTTTGTTTTGTTTTGAGACAGGCTCTTGATATGCAATCGTGGCTGACCTGAGCTATGTTGACAAGGCTGGCCCCAAACTCAATCTGTTTGAGTGCTGAGATTAACTACCTTACCAGACTTTGTTTACTGCTTTTCAATAGCAATGCGGAGAGTTGTCAATCTTATAACCTTCTGAGCTTCCAAAGTCTGTAAATTTTGTTTGACCAGCCTCTTTCTTCTGTGCAGGAGTGAATGGTTCAATTGAGAGGAATAGCTACATGTCAGTTTACAAACTCTACACCTAAAATATTTTAAGGGAAATGGGACGTGTATTTTATCTTGGTGTGGGTTTTCCCACAGGCAGACACTGGGACAAGGACTTGAACGGAAATAGTTTGTTCTGGTGACAAACTGAAGAAATCAATATGTAGGTTTTATTTTTTAACAGGTCCTCCCCACAGCTCCCCAAATACATGGAGACTTATTCTTACTTAAGAAGACTGGCCTTAGCTTGACTTGTTTCTAGAAAGCCTTTCTTAACTTAAATTACCCAATTTAACTTTTGCCTTTGGGCTTTTACCTTTCTCTATTCCTGTGTATATCTTTTCTTTCCTTATTCTGTGTCTGCCTATGTGACTGTGTGGCTGGTCCCTGGTATCCTCCACTCCTTCTCCTTTTCTTGTTCCTCCTTTTTTCTCCTATTAATTCTCTCTGCCTGGCAGCACTGCCCAACCTTTCTCTACCTAGCTATTGGTTGTTCAGCTCTTTATTAGACCAATCAGGTGTTTTAGACATTCAAAGTAACACAGCTTTACAGACTTGAACAAATGCAACATAAAAAAATGCTACACATCTTTGCATCATTAAATAAATATTCCACAGCATAAAGGAATGTAACACATTTTAAGCTATATTCCACAACAATACATGGTTTGCATCATCCTTCCTTCCTTCCTTCCTTCCTTCCTTCCTTCCTTCCTTCCTTCTTTCCTTGTTTCAGTCCTTCCTTGTTTCAGTCCTTTCTTTAGTTTTCAGAGCAAAGTTGTCTTCTGTAGGCTTAAGGGGGAGGAGGAATGGTGTACATTTGAACATGTAGCTTCCAGTGAAGTCAAACACTTGTCAGTCAACACACCTATTAATACTATATCCTGGGGGAAGCTTGGATGAAGGAGCTATCGGGCCATATGAGGAACAGAGAAGAAACTTGGAAATGCGGTAATGGCGGGTGAGATGTCAGATACAAATTGCCACCTGGAGGTGAGTATTTCGAATAACCACACTGGCACTGCTTTGAAGAGAAAGTTGGCAACTGATCTTTAGGAGGCTCTACTCATTCTACAAAGGGAAAATGAACTTTGATCAGAATACCATAAAATCACCTGTACCTTGTATAGGGATGTATCTTTTAATTAGCTCCCACTTGTGAAGAATAAATATGATGAAATATTTTGTGTTTTCTGAGCACACACACACACACACACACACACACACAGAGAGAGAGAGAGAGAGAGAGAGGGAGAGGGAGAGAGAGAGAGAGAGAACCTAGGCCAGTGTTTTCAAACTACATTATCAGTTCAAATAACCTGGGAATCTCCTTGAAAGGCAGATACTGCTGTTAGGTGTGTGTGTGTGTGTGTGTGTGTGTGTGTGTGTGTGTGTGTGTCGTGGTGGTGGTGGTGTAAGGTCCAAAGCCTTTATAAGAAGATTCTAAAAGACATTCATGTTGTTTGCAGGAGGGTCACATTTAGGGTAGTGACAGTCTACAGATCATCTAGATTGGTGGTAAGTTCAGCTGTATAATGGCATCACATTGGAAGTTTTACCACCATGGATTCCTGGGCCATATCTCCGGAGATTCTAATGCCTGGACTATGGCTTGGGAATAGAAACACCCAGAAGATAACTAGATGATTCTAGTGAACAGCCAGTGTTGAGTGCCATTAGTATGAACCAGTGCCCACATTTTTTATTGCTGAAATAAAGCTAATTCTCTTGTGTTTCTAGCACAGTCTTTCTACTCATACTCCATGTTTTCCTTCTTTTATCCCCACCTGTGTGTGTGTGTGTGTGTGTGTGTGTGTCTGTGATGTGTGTACATGTTTGTGTGTGTAGGTATGTGCGTACTATAGAATGAGTATAGAATTTAGAGGACAATCTGGAGTGTCTTTTTTGTTTACTGCTATGTATGCCGTGCCAGCTGTCCCAGAGGCATGTTGGGAGTCTCTTGTCTCCACCACTCATCTTACTGTAGGAGCTCTGAGATTATACATGTGCATTATTATACCTGGATTTATGTGAATTCTGGGGACTTGAACCCAGGTCCCCTTGTTTATGCAGCAAGTGCTTTGCTCAGTTAGTCATCTTCCCAGCCCTGGCATGTGTCTGTGTTTCCCTAGAACTTACTTATGTAGACTAGACTGGCCTTGAATTTGCAGAGATCTCTTACCTCTGCCTTCTGAGTGTTGGAATCACAGAGATATGCCACCATACCTGGACTTTTAATTATGTTTTCTTGATTACCTTTCACATTGAAGACACCTTCTAATTCTTAATCTTTTATGTTAATTGGAGCCCAGCACCATATCCTACAAATTTGCTGTGTTTTTTGAGTCAGTTTCTTGCTATTTCTTCTTATTGGGTGAGTAAAATCAATGACAAAGTGTATGACAATGGGATGCTGCTGACCTCTGTCTTGGAAGGTTTGTGGCTTGCAGCATACATTGGATTGGTTTCCTTCATCCTTTGTCTGTGGTAGAAAACAGCTACCAATCACTTCATGTTCCTTCCTTTCTTCTCTTCTCTCTTTCCCCTCTCTCTGATCTTTCCTACTTTGCTTGCTCAAGTGTGTTTTTTTTTTTGGATTCCTATTAAGAGTTAGACTGTGGGCTAGGTAGTAATGAGGACCATTTAGTGGAAATGTTCACTGGATAATTCCTGCTTCTCTATTATTTAGGTGAAGTGAGCTGGGCCACTTGGCCTGTGGTTTATAGAATGTTTGGTCTTCTCCAACGACGATTATTACCTCTCAGAGCAGAACAAAATCTAAAGCAAGACTGAAAACAAAAAGAAAATGACACAATGACACTTCAATCAATTTTTCCTATCAAATTTTGCTAGCTCTTAGAAT